TGGAGGGGGAGGGTCATATATCCCTTGAAAAATGTTATCGGTTGTTAAGTTTTCTCGGTTTTCGGCGTTTGGAAGCGCTACGCACTCCCATTCCCCCCCCCCTTCCGCGCCGCTCTGCGGTAGTTTTTTTTTCAGGGAAATTGGAGAACTCCAGGAGAATTTCCGAAAGAAAAGTCCCGAAAAGGTGGTAGGGCCATGGACATACTGGAAGACAGGTATGGGAGGGGGAGTGGTCGTACCAGAGAGGAAGCTTTGAGGGGGGAGTCGCCTTTTTTCAAAAATTTTTACCAACGGCAGGACGTGCCCTGTCCCCACTGGAAGTACATATGAAGACGTAGTCATTTTTAGATGCATAACTTCTGCGTCAGGCGGAGGGGTGTAGTGGCAAGTGATCCGCTCACTACGGCGAGCTCTCCGGGGTTAAAATTCCGGATCGGCTCAAGCCCAAGGCTGAAAAAACTTCTGGGATTGTGAGTTGGTGTCAGATACGCCTGGGAGAATGAAAGCAGTGGTTTACACATTGGCTGGCCCCCTCAAGCCATTTCACAACCCAAATCGCATATAATAAGCCGCTGCGATTGAAAGTGAATAGAATACATGGTGCATCCCTTGAAAAAGTTGGAAAACGGCGAAAAATCCGTTCATTATGGATGGGCGTGGAATTGAACACTCCAGTGGCATGCTCTGAACAATTAACATCATTTTTAAAAATAAAACTAGTTTTTAGTGGGTTGTAGGATATGTGGTACATCCTACATCCCACTAAAAACTAGTTTTAAAAAGGGAAAGAGTAGATTAGCGTCAATCGGATTAACAATCCGAAAAGGCTGTTCGAGACCGGATGCCTCTTTTTGTGCACCAACGTTCATGCAAAGAGCTTTCAGGTCGTCCAGCGCCGTCAGTGGAATGGTTTGACAACAACGGACAGCTTATCAGCGATTCGGAACAATTCAAAGTGAGACCAAGGTGTTCTCCAGCTTTTACCCGGAATTTTTTTTTCTCAGATAGAAAACGCTGAACTGAGCACGGTTTTGACTATCAAACGCCTACGAGTGGAAGATCGTGGAGAGTTCAAGTTGAGAATACGAAATCGATGTGGCGAAGACTCGTTCTCGATTGGTATTCAGGTAACGTTTGAATCTGCTTTGAGTCATCTTCTTTTGGAGTGCTGGGGGCTTGTGAGTGGTGAACTCGAATGTTTGAAAAAAGAAGGAGCTTCAAGATAATTTAGGAGCAGTTCGACTCGGTGGGGGCATTCCGCTGCGCTCCATCGACCACTACCGATGCCTCCTGTGGAGACTTGTACATTACTGAAAGGCAATACAAGGCAGCAGCTTTGCTTATACTTGAAAAATGTTTACGGGTCTCATCAAGGTGAAACGTCTACTTCAGTTAGGCCTAGTAAAGCTTCTACCGAAAGTGCAAACTGTCTCCCCTGCTATCCCTCTCTCTCTCCCCCCCCCCCCCCCATAAGCCGCACAGCACCATAATTCATTCCAAAGGAGCCACAAGATCAGAAAGGTTCTAAACGCTCATCAGAAGTTACTCATTCCGAAGCATATCACCTCAGTATTCCAGGCCTGATGAAGGTGCTTACGATAAGCGCAGAAATATATTTGGGATACACCAGAAATCCTACCCCCTCTGAGGAACAAAGCGGCATTTGAATACGATTCAGTCCGTGTAGTGACTGAAGAGGGATACGTCCTGCCGTTCAGGAAAATTTTTTTCAGAATACGACTTCCCTCCCCCCTCTCTTCTCGGGATTTCTTCCTTTGGTGCCGTCCCTTTTCCTGCCATCCTTTCCTAAATTTTCCCAATTTCCTACAACTTTTTCGACTTGTTTTGGCTAAAATTTGCCGTGGAGCGGGGGGGAGAGGGAGCACTCGTGAAACGGGAAAATAGAGAAAAGTCGACAACCGATAACCTTTTCTCAAAGGCAAGTGCGACTCCCGCCTCACCCATCTCACCGGCGACCAAATGCACCTCGCCCCCCTACTGGGATCCCCAGGGTACGACGGTGCCCTGCATTTTTGTAAGTCAGCTCTGGCTAAGGTCCAGATTTTAGTCTCGGTTGGGGTCAAACCTTTCGCCCCTAACTCAGCGTCCTCAGGTTCAGCTCCCAGACGAGTGTGGGAGGGTACAAAGCGAGATCCAGGGAGGTGCTGGCGGTGATGTCACATCGCAAGACATTAGCTTCGCCTTCCTTTTCCAAACGAACACGGAGGACATATTCATTGCTTTTCCCCACGCTCAAGCTACGTGCAAAAACGACGACGAGTTGTGTTTATACAAAATGCAATGTTTGGATTGCTTTCCTAGGCAGGGTCTTTGGCTTCCCGACTTCAGAAATGGACTTTCCCCATAGGGTTTTTGGAATGCACTTCCAAACACGCTTCTCATCCCAAACTCTCCCGAGCGTTCATTACATTTGCGAAGAAAATTGATGAGATGACGGGATAATTGCGTAATTACACGTCGTGCACCTGCAGCGAGAATTCCCTCGAAAAAAAAAGTTGAAGTAGTTCTGCTCAAATTTGGCGCGACTTCCATCTTGCCAAGGGATGGCATTTGGAGTTACACCTTCAGCTCAAAAATATATTAAAATATCTAAATAAAAAATATCTACCTAGTGAAAGGCATAAATAATAGCAAGAACGAAAATGTATGAAAAGTTCAAAAAGTATATCAAGGGCGCTGTTCGACTTGGGAGGGGCATTTTGCACTTTCGCTTGTTCCTTTTGCTAGTTCATGTTAACTAGTAGGTTGATTCTCGCGAAGCTGCAAAATGGTGCAGGGTAGTCAATCTGGTTACATGAATTTGCAGGGCTTCAGAAGGTGCTCTGTATTAGGGTTAGTAGAATACCGATGCCCCCTCCTCCTCCTCCCAAGCAGAACTGCGCCTAGAAAACTTCAAGCATCTGACTGGAATTCAGGACATCACTCTCCGTTCTAGTGCCATCCTGAGATAAGCTACCTAATTTTATATGCATAACTTCTCGTTTCCCGTGGCCTGCTACGCTGTTTCTGACCTCATTTGCCACACTGGGAAGTGTTCTGGGGAACAAGTACAAGCTTGTGAACGCCCTTGGCTTAGTGGAAGATGTCCTTCCCTCACGTTTCGGGATGTTCTTGTAGAACAAGGCACACTCTGAAGAGTCACCAATAAAGCAGTCCTTTTTGAAGTCACCTAGTTAAAGGGGGAGAGTATGCGTTCTGCTGACAGAGGTTTCTACTAATGTGCAAGAGCGTAGAAAGTAATAATGTAGGAGTTTGGGGAGGGGGGGGGTTGTGCCCGGACCACGTTGTATTACGTTGGAGATCCTCGACGAGGGAGTCGTATTTAGATGGGAGAGGGGCCGTATTTGACTTTGGGCAAAATTTTTGGTTCGCTGAAATATCACATTACGCACGCGCTGTATATCTCCCTAATCAGTAGCACTTCAAAGCTGTTTTTTCTAGTAGCTGAGTTCACCCTCCCCTGTCCCCCCCCCCTAGTCGGCAGTGTCGCAAAAACTTATTATTTCCGATAGCTGTATTGGCCCCTTCCTCTCTAAGCGGCGGCAACTTTTTGGCAACGTTTGTTAAGGAGAACGGGGTAGCTTGTGGAGGGGGTGATAGGGATGTGAGAATATGAGGGAAGGGAGGGGTGTATTCAGCAAAAATTCTCCCCAACGCCAGCAAGTGCCGTGTTTCTATGACGAAATCTTTTTCGAAGAAATCTCAGTTAAGGAGGTGTAAAGAGACACAGGACGTTGGGCGTTCGGGCGTTCAATCAAAGGAGGGCAGTCAGGTGTAGAACAGTGGTGGGAAGGGGAGGGATTCGTGCAAACCAGCCGAATTTTCTTGAAATTCACATTTTCGCTGACGCTGCAGATGCTGCTCCAGGGCGGAAGGTGCTTTTTCACAGGGAATGAGTGGAAGCGGTATCG